TGTCTGTCTGTCTGTCTGTCTGTCTGTCTGTCTGTCTGTCTGTCTGTCTGTCTGTCTGTCTGTCTGTCTGTCTGTCTGTCTGTCTGTCTGTCTGTTGTCCTGTCCTGTCCTGTCCTGTCTGTCTGTGTTGGCTGATTGCTTTCAGTGTCTTCTATCTGATTCTGTAGGAGGCTCGTCTGAAGCTTCCGGTGTTGGCAGAGGAGCAGGTCATCATGGAGGCAGTGAAAGAAAACCCCTGTATTGTCATCTGTGGAGAGACAGGAAGTGGAAAAACCACTCAAGTGCCTCAGTTTCTGTATGAAGCTGGTTATGCCAGGTAGTTTATCCTCTTAATCGGACAATCCTTAGATGTTTGACTGGGTTGTTACAGAATAAAAAGGATTTACATTTTAATCTATGTGTCATCGCATGTGATCGTTTCTATCTTGTTTCCTGCAGTGAAAGTGGGATTATTGGCATCACAGAGCCGAGACGAGTTGCAGCTGTCAGCATGTCGCACCGAGTGGCCAAAGAGATGAACGTGTCCACACGGTAATAAAAATAATGCAGATTTTCATAAAACATATAAAAGAAAATCTATTTAATAGTCTTTGAAACGAATACAGAGACTTTTCATCTTCTAAGCCTCTTGATCCTGTTTGTTTTTCTGTGCTCAGCGTTGTGTCTTACCAGATTCGATATGAAGGGAATGTGACAGATGAAACCAAGATCAAGTTCATGACAGATGGTGTTCTACTGAAGGAGATCCAGAGGGTAGCGTCTTTACTCTTTAGTTATTTAAATAAAATATGGTGAACACATGGTGGCAGATTATTAGACCTACTGATTTTTCCAACTCTAAAGGTGCGTTCAGGTAAATACTGTTTTCCTGCATTTCTCTACAGAGAGAGGAAAATAATGACAGAGGTGTTGCAAGAATAAGTTTGTGTTAGATTTCCCAACAATTTCAAATGCATCTATCCAGAAAACAAATCCCCTAATATCTTCACTAATATGACACATTAATGTTCATTTCTTCTAACATGTTTACGTTTAGACAGAAAGTGTTTCCTGTGAGTGTTTGTTTTGTTGTCAGCATATTATTTCTTTCTGGTCTCTCAGGATTTCCTGCTGAAGAGATACAGTGCGATCATCATAGATGAAGCTCATGAGAGGAGTGTGTACACAGACATCCTCATCGGACTGTTGTCTCGCATCGTCCCCCTCAGAAACAAGGTAAACCACAGTCTGTGGACTGAAAGGTCAGACTCAGACTCACAGATTTCTCTTTCATCGGCCGGTTGTTTCATGCGTCTCTCTGCAGAAAAAAATGCCCATGAAGCTGCTGGTCATGTCCGCCACTCTGCGGGTTGAAGATTTCACAGAGAACCTGAAGCTGTTTCGGACGCCTCCACCCGTCATCAAGGTGGACGCTCGCCAGTTCCCCGTCAGTATCCATTTCAACAAACGCACCCCGCTGGACGATTACACCGGAGAGGTTTTTCACAAGACCTGCAAGATCCACCGCATGCTGCCTTCAGGTGCACATTCACATGTTCACTTTTAACAGATGTTGTATTTTTTTTTAGCTTTCATGTTTGTTTGCTACAAAACTACACCGAACTATGGAGGTAAAATTACAGAATCTGAGGATGACCAACCCACTTTAGTCTTTTTTAAATGTTAAAGTAATCCGGACAATGAACAGGAGTAAAGTAAAATCTTTACACACACTAACTACCACCTTGATGTTGACGTCCTTCAGGTGGAATCCTGGTGTTTCTGACGGGTCAGGCAGAAGTTAACGGTCTGTGCAGGAGACTGCGAAAAGCTTTCCCCTTCAGAAAGAGTAACACAACCACTGGTGGGTGTAACACACTCACAGTCCCTTCACACTCTGACATATCTGTGGGCAGTTATATATTGACTTGATTATGTGTTCAGGTGAAGATGAAGACACCTCAGAGGCCATGAGGAAGTTTAAGAAGAACAAAAAGAAGAAGACTGTCGTAAGCTGTCTTTTAATAATACGTCACAAAGTCTCTGGTCAAAACTCCTTTGTTTTTTTCCCCATATATACTGGTTGTGTACATATTTTAAGAGTTCTCTCTGTCTCCAGTCTCTGCCCCGTATCGACTTGGACAACTTCTCTGCTCTGCCGGTGGATGAAGGTGACGAGGACCGAGAGGCTGGGATCAGAGACGAGGACGATGACGGCTCGGACCTAGAAATCGGAGACGATCCTGACAATACAGGTGAGCTCCTCTGGTCCAGAGAAAATTTGTCCAGGCCAGTTGTTTATACTTCACATGTGCATCCTGACAAACTGCTCTGTGTTTTGTGTCTGTAGAGGAGAAGGCTGACCCGTCCATTCCTCTCTATGTCCTCCCTCTGTTCTCTTTGTTGGCGCCAGAGCAGCAGGCGAAGGTGAGTTTAAACTTTTGGAACTAAAACATGAATAATGAAGATTTGAAGAGTTAACACGAGAACAGAAAAATTAAAGATATTAAAGTGATGATGTAATGTTACTGTGTCTCTCTGAGGTAGATTTCACAGTTAAATTCACAATATGATACATGTACATGTACATGTACAGTACATGATTGATTGATAATCAATTCCAATAATGTGGTGAACTACCTCCTGACACCACTTAACCTAAATACCAAAGTGTACCATATATATGTTCTGTATGAAAAGATCATATAGATACAGATAATCAATAGTATACAATAGAAAGTGTGTGTTCTTCTTGACTGTAGGTGTTCAGGCCCCCCCCTCCTGGTACTCGTCTGTGTGTTGTCGCCACCAATGTGGCCGAGACGTCTCTGACCATCCCTGGCATCAAGTACGTGGTTGACTGCGGTCGAGTTAAGAAGCGTTTCTACGATCGAGTGACTGGAGTGTCATCCTTTAAAGTCACGTGGACCTCACAGGCCTCCGCCAATCAGAGGGCGGGTAGAGCGGGACGAACAGAGCCGGGACACTGCTACAGGTTGAGACTTTGAAACCTTGTCGTAACACAAATGTTTTCTTTAGTTGAGGAGGATGCACAAACATTTGTGTGTGTTTCTGCAGGTTGTATTCGTCTGCAGTGTTCGGAGATTTCAGTTTGTTCTCAGAGGCAGAGATCACTCGCAGGCCTGTGGAGGACCTGGTTTTACAGATGAAGGACCTGAACATAGAAAAGGTCAGTAAAACAACTCAAGCATACCTGCAGGATTTAGAGTGAACTGCTGATGGATAAACAGCTTCATATATTCCGTGCAGGTGGTCAACTTCCCCTTCCCCACGACTCCCTCTACTGAGGCTCTTGTAGCAGCGGAGCAGTTGTTAATCTCGTTGGGAGCTTTGAAAGAGCCGCCTCACACTGAAAGGTGAGTCTGTTCAAGATCTCTGAGGATAGTTGTGTGGTTTTTACAGGGAAGCAAAGTCATATCAAGTTCTTCAAATTGAGCCAATTATTCCTTATATCACATGTCCACACTTTCTTTTTATTATCAGGGTAAAAGAGATGCAGCGAGCCAGGCTGAGCTCTCCCATCACCCCCCTTGGCAGAGCAATGGCTTCATTCCCAGTGTCACCCCGTTACGCTAAAATGCTAGCACTCGGGAAGCAGCAGGATTGTCTGCCGTACGTCATTGCTGTGGTAGCAGCCATGACAGTCCGGGAGATCTTTGAAGACCTTGACAGGTGAGGACACACTCTAGGTAGAGGACTTCCAATGCCTTGTCAATTTTAAACTGGAGCTTCAAACGTGTTTCGATTAACTGAGGTAAATACGAAGAGTCATATAATGTAGCTTTATCTTGTTTTTAAAACTCATGACAAGTTTCTGTTTCTCAGACCTGCAGGAAGTGAAGATGAGAGCTCCAGTCTCGCACAGCGCCGAGCTCGGCTGGCTCAGATGAGGAGGCTGTGGGCTGGGCAAGGAGCCGCACTCCAACTGGGGGACCTCATGGTCATGCTTGGTGTGTTTACTAGTTTGATTTGTCCTATAGATTATGAGAAACTGCACTAGGTTATATGTTCACATTTAAAGGTTTTGTTTTAAGTCAATTAACTCAGACTTGATTGAGAAACAGTTGTTGGGAAGGTATAAAAATCTATGATCACATTTTATTTGACAGAAGTTTTACTTGCACCCGGGGGGGAAATGGTTTCGATTTTAATGAGATATAAAAATCATTATATACCAAAACGTTGTTGCTGTACAAAACGTTTTACATTATAATAATGTTGTTTGACCTTATTTCTGTATTCATGTGACTGCAGGTGCAGTTGGTGCTTGTGAATTTGCTGGCTGCACTCCCAAGTTCTGTGAGGAGAACGGCCTGAGGTATAAAGCCATGGTTGAGATCAGGAGGCTCAGAGGTCAACTCACCAACACAGGTACAAAGATGCTACAAACACAGAAAACCTAAAGCAAACATCTGCTGCAGGAGCACAAGAGAAAATCTTCTGTGTTCTTCTCTCCAAGTGAACGCAGTTTCTCCAGACGTTGGAGTATTTGTGGATCCTAAGATGTCTCCGCCGACCGAGCGCCAGGTGGTTTGCTTGCGGCAGATTGTTTTATCTGGACTGGGAGACCATCTTGCACGGCGTGTGCAGGTAGAAGAGATTCTGGATCCCAAATGGAAGAATGGATATAAGGTAAGTTACACTGTGATTGCTGTTTAGGACAGTGCTTTTATTTCCTTCACCCCCTCAACTTTATTTGCTTTTGTTCTTAGACGTGTCTAATGGACGACCCAGTGTTCATTCATCCCACATCTGCACTGTTCAAAAAGCTGCCAGAGTTTGTCGTCTACCAGGAGATCATGGAGACCAGCAAGATGTACATGAGAGGTAAAACATCTCGGAGAAAGTCAGTAGAGCTGCCTTCAGACATGCCTTGAACTCCGGAGATCCTCCATATTTTAGACAGGACAGACAGAGAAACATGATGCTGATGGATGTACACATATTTTTTGGATTCAGGGTGACTTCAACTTTTGTATTTTATTGTTGCAGCTGTTACTGAAACTTGATTTGCAGGTTGATAGTTTCACCTCGTTATCCTCCTTCCTGTTTCTGTCAGGCGTCTCAGCAGTAGAAGCAAATTGGGTCCCACAGTTTCTGCCTCAGTACTGTCACTTCAGCTCCCCGCTGGAGTCTCCATCGCCATGGTTCTGCTCATCCACCGGCACCATCAAATGTCACCGTTCAAGCACCTTCTGTAAGTTCTTAACAGCTGAGCAGCAGAGCTGTGTTTCTGCTGAAGGTTGTCTCTGCGTACATTTGAGGAATCACTGTTGCTTTCTCCTGCAGTCCGTGTGGCGTGGCAGCTGCCAGCAGTGGAGATGGATTATCCTGACGGGCTGGACCGTTACAAACTGTTTGCCAGGTTTCTTCTTGAGGGACAGGTACTGCAGCGAAACCTGAAAGTTCAACATCTCTGTCAAATCTTTACATAAGACTCAACCGAGCAAATTCTGTCTAATCAAAATGAGTCTGATGTGTAAATGTGTTTGTTGCCTTCCCAACTGTTAATACTGCTCCCTTTGTTGTTTATTTGAATCGTCTGTACTGTGGAAAAACTTTCATCCCCATATATCTTATGAAAATACACAGTTATACATATAGTTTACACTTACACCACATTTCCTGAGCACATTTACACTTCTCAGTCCTCACTATAACCAAGTCATTATAATTATTTCCACCAAATATATGACAAACAAAAAGAATCCTCAGGATAAAGCAAATCAATCCAAAATGCAATCTTCTGTGTGCCAAATAAAAAAATGCACTAGAGTTAAATATGATAAAAACCTGAAATTCAGAACTGGTCCAAAATCTTCAAATGAAAGTTGTGGACTTCAGAAAGCAGCTCTGGTGTTTTGTGTTCTGATGTTTGCTTGGTCCCGTCTGCAGGTTTGTCCTAAACTAAAGAAACACAGTGTTCACCTTCTCTCAAACCCCTCCATCATGTTGAAAACATGGGCAAAGTAAGTTGATCCTCTCACACACACACACATTTCTGTCGTCTTTCTTTCATGATTTAACAAAATACCTTGAAATAAAGGACTGTTATCTTATTATTGTGTCTTATTATCTGTTGTAGACTTCAGCCCAGGACGGAGGCTGTGCTGGGGCCGCTCTTGACAAAGGGAGTGGACTGCAGAGATGCTCTCCTCTCCGTCTGGAAGACTGACGATAAATGTGAGGATTAAATGTTTTTTATAACTTTTCTGATAAAGCCTCCTGTTATTTTATCTTCTTTTTTTTTTTCCTTCTCTTTCAGTTCTGTTGTCGGCATACTGTCAGTGGCTTCCTGAATCCATGCATCAAGAAGTAGCCCAGAGCTGGCCTCCTGTATGAAAACAGAAATCATGTTTGACCTGAGACTTGTATCGACCTGGAGATGGGTTGAACCCCTTTCTTCACTGTGGAGGGGCGTCTTCAGACACATCTGTTTTTTAGTGCAACCACCAACCCACAACATGGCCTTTTCACCATTTTGTATTTTATACACTGCATCTATGATTTGTACAGTTCTGTCATGAAGACGGTGTTTCATCTAGAATGACTTTTAACTTGTTTGTCAGAGTGCTGCTGTCAGTTCTAAATGTCTGATTTGGTCTTCATAAGACTTATTAAAACTAAGAAGCTCTGACCACAACTGGTGTGTGATTCATTCATACTGTGTGTAAACTCTGGTTGAAGAATATGAAAGGGAAACTCAAAGGCTCTTACGCATAAAAGAGCAAATTTCATCCTCATAATGTCAGAAGAGTTATCATGACTTAGGGTCAGAGACCTAAATTTGTGTGACTGAAAGACCCTCTATCAGGATATTTGCTAATCAGGGAGTGACTGTTGAGATTCAGTTCAGAAATCAGTTTTGATATTAGGAGCAGAAGCTTAAAAAACAAACTCACAAGGTCCATTATTATCATCAGATGTTCTGGAGCCCAGTTTTCGTGGATACACTTTTTAAGAAAAAGAGATAATCCTTTATTGATCCACATGGGTGAAAGTCAGGTATTACAGCAGCCCAAGTACAGAACAAATACAAGTTTAAAAAAAAGAATAGAATGAAATATATATACAGCAATTAGACACTGGAAAATATACAAAATTATCAGCCACAGTGTTTGCTGCAGGACTCGTTCTTGTCTCTGAAGGTCGATCTTGGTGACTCTGGTTGTATCTTTGGGCTCCTAACTTGACATGATACAGAATCTAAACATCTTAATAAGAATGAATAATAACAATCCAAACATCTAAATTGATAATAAATAAGATGTTTATTTTCAAGTCAAGTCAAGTGTACTTTATTGTCAAAAATCAATGTAACAGGGTTAGCACAGAAGTTTGAAATTGCGTTTGACCAGTCTCCAATGTGCAAGTTTAAAACATTTAAGTAAGACATTGACAAAATCTCTCTCTCACACACACACACACACACAAACATTTAAATAGACATTGACAATAATCTCTCTCTCAAACACACTCTCACTCTCTCAAACACACTCTCACTCTCTCACACACTCACACACTCACACACACACACACACACACACACACACACACACACACACATAGCAGCAGAAGTACAATCAGTGGTCACAAGGTGCAACAGTAAAGTAAAGTGCAACAGTAAAGTAAAGTTTTTGTCCTGTATATAAAGTTTATCTCAACCCAACCCAAAGTTCTCCCTTTTCTCTTAACGTCATGTTCTTTGGCCTCTCATCTTTGACAATAATATAAATCCATTGTACTTTTAATTTTTAATAAATAATGATAAAGTCACTTTTTATAAATATTGCTGTGATTGGCTCCCGACAGCTTTGTCGTCATTTCCTCTTTCCGGCTCTTACTGTTTCCGGAAGCAGCAGCAGCAGCAGCAGAAGAAGAACAGGGGGAATCCACAGCTCCTGAGTGACAGTTTCTAAAAAAAGGAAAAACAGACTTAAGATTTAATTTGAGTGGACGGAGAAGCTGAGGCCAGATCTGTCAACATGGTGAGTATCAGTGTGTTCACCGCTGAAGACGAATCTGAACTCATCGTAGTTCCGAGGTTAGCTTGTGAGGCTACAACAACAACAACAACAACACGGCGACAGCAGCAGAAAGATGCGCTGTCATGGTCAAATGAGTCCAGTCAGCTCAGCTACAGCAAACTCCAGAGCTGTGCTTCCTCCGTCTGAGTTTCATTTGTTTGTTCCACAGTTTTCCTTCCAGGTCTTCGACCACCCGATGTCCCGGGGCTTCCAGAACCGATTCTCCACCCAGTACCGCTGCTACTCGGTGTCCATGCTGGCGGGACCCAACGACCGCTCCGACGTGGAGAAAGGAGGCAAAAGTGAGAATTACTGAAGGAAATGTAGAGAAATGTTCACACATCCGGTCAGTTTAAAGGGCTAGTTCACCCAAAAAATGAAAATGCACCCATCATCTACTCACCACTGTGCAGGTGGAGGGGTGGGTGAAGTGTTTGAGTCCACAAGTCACTTTAAGTCTCAGATAATGATTTGTTTTCTTTTCAGTTATAATGCCACCGTCAGCTCTTGACCAGCTCAGTAAGTGTAACTGAAATCAAGCATCTCCTCTTAAAATAAAATAAGTCCAGTATGTATTCACAGCTCATGGTTCTTATCTTTCTCCATCTTTCCCCCGTACAGGCCGGCTTAACATCACATATCCAATGTTGTTCAAGCTGACCAACAAGAACTCGGACAGAATGACCCACTGTGGTGTTCTGGAGTTTGTGGCAGATGAGGGAATCTGTTATCTGCCACACTGGGTAATAAACAGAAACTATTTTGTCACCGGTGGTTCAGTGGTATTTACAAGTAGAACAATAGTTAGATTGAATTAGTATTTGATATTTTATGCAAATAGCAGTAAATATATCATCTTAAAAATCTACGAGTAACAGGAAAACTTACCGAATTCAAAAAAACTTGATGGATGGGATTTTTCAGAATATGACTGATGCAGAGAGATAAAATCTTAATACTCTCAATAATATATAATAATATATTATTGTGTCTGAACTGCTCTGTCCTGATTAACTGCATAAAGCTACTATGCGAGACAGAAATGATATTTGATTTTATGTCCTTCACTGCAGATGATGCAGAATCTCCTGCTGGAGGAAGGAGGTTTGGTGCAAGTGGAAAGTGTAAACCTCATGGTGGCCACCTACTCAAAGTTCCAGCCACAGAGTCCTGACTTCCTTGATATCACGAACCCAAAGGCAGTGTAAGAATGATCAGAAACACAAATTCACCCTTCTTCTCATTTAATGTAAAACTAAAATGATCAACTAAGTTGTCGTGTTATTACAGACTGGAGAATGCTTTGAGAAACTTTGCCTGCTTGACAACTGGTGACGTCATAGCTATCAACTATAATGAAAAGGTAAATCAGTGTTTTCAGATTTGTGTTGAAAGATTATGTGAATCTGTATTTGTCTGTTTTTCTTTGTACTGAACAAAGGATTCTGTGTTTGTTTCAGATATATGAGCTGCGAGTAATGGAGACCAAGCCAGATAAAGCAGTTTCCATCATTGAGTGCGATATGAACGTAAGATCCTCCGTTTTATTACAGACAAGAGTAAACTATTCTTTTTAGTCAATTGTCTTTAACTCTGAGTTTGCCTCTGTTCCTCAGGTGGACTTTGATGCTCCTTTGGGTTACAAAGAGCCTGAACGACGACCTCAGCACCAGGAGGAACCAACAGTAAGAATCAAACATTAACGTTACCTGTACACTTACTGTGTTTGTGCTCTGACCAGTTAAATACAGCTCTTTACTTCACAGGAGGAGGAACCAGACCCCAGCAGTTATGCGGACATGGACATAGGATTCAGAGTGAGTAAATATTGCTATTTGCTAATAGACACCTTTATGATAAATGATAACCGGAATCAATGTAACTTCTTATCTGTTTCTAATGCTCAGGCTTTCACTGGTTCTGGTAACCGTTTGGATGGTAAAACAAAGGGCATTGAGCCCAGTCCTGCTCCTATCGCTCCAAGTGACATTAAAAGGTGAAAAGATGTTCAGTTTCTTTATATATATTTGGACATACTACTCTTCAGCAGATGTTATTCGTGGTGTGGTCATTTAACCAACTGCAAAATGCAACAATAAACTCACCTGAGCTTGTGTTGTCTGGCTGCTAGGAAGCATTAAAATATTGTCTTTTTACTTTTGCACAATGTGACGTTACTTTACGACATGATGAATGAGAGCTCAACAGTGTGTGAGGACCTTAAGTGGCACTTTGATTTCTATTTTACTACTAATGTTTGAAAGTAAATTTCTTATCTTAAAATCATATCTTTTATCACGCAGAGGCATTCCCAACTACGAATTCAAAGTCGGCAGGATCACCTTCATCAGAAACTCGAGGCCCCAGCCCAGGAAAATTATAGATGATGTAAGAAATCAATGAGTGCTGTTATTACATGTTTAAAAGTTTGACTGTGTATTTTTAGTATTTTAGTGCAATTCCTCAGAATCATTCTGCTCATTATGACTACTTTTATCTCCTAATTCTCTCAGGATGATGCCTTGAACAGATTCATCGCCTTCTCGGGCGAAGGACAATCACTACGCAAGAAGGGCAGAAAGCCTTAAAGAACTGGGAAGAGGCTGGGTTATGTGCACAGAATGATCATCTGTATTAACACCTTTAACAGCAGAGTGAAAATAGCTGGTCTTCAGGTGCACTGGCGCTATACCAGATTGATTTCACATATATCAGATTGATTTTTTCCCCCATTTCATAATTGTTTCATTTTTAAAGCTCAATTTGATTTTGATAAATAAAATATTGGAGCTGTAATAACTCTTGACTTCTATTGTAATTATAAACAAAGTGATGTTGGATTATTTTCACCCTGAGTTATAGGGATACATTACAAGTTGTTTCCTATTTTTTCCTGGTTTATTTATAGACAAAATAAATAAAGGATTGTGTTTTGCAGTTAATTAATTGTGTCTTAAAATTATTGGTTGTTACATTATTCCTGTAACCCTGTAATTTTTCTAGACCGGTGTTTGACTCATTTGTTTTAGAAAAGCAGACGAAGAATGTGCATAGTGGGTACAAGTATTTTATTATTTATTATTTAGTTTTTACTAAGTAAGAAATAATGAAGCAGGTACTTAATGAAAACCATGAAAATTTGTCCATCACAGGCATCTAGCTAAAATTAAAAGCAGATTAACCTTAAATAAACAGGAGTAGTTGTTGTTAGTAATTAAATATATAATGTGATGTTTAAGTTTGCTTTGTAAAAGTATTTGTCCTGAATGAGTTTCAAAATAAGTGTGGTTGAACTTTATGGTTTGTGCTCTTATTGTGAAAAGAAGTCACACCGGAAGTTTCCTTCCGTTCAATCTTCCGCGGCTAAGCTAAATTAGCAATGGACCAATCTGAAGAAAACCTCTGGAGGGTAATTTGTTAAAAACATTTACTACCTTGTAAATGATGCTCATAGCTATAAGAAGTGGTTCAGTGTCTCCTGTCTTTTTTAATCCCGATAAAGAGCGAACACTGAACCAAACTGTTAGCAAGGTGAGAAGCTACCGATGCTAGAGGGGCAAAGTAACCTTAGCTAGCTTAGGTAGCCAGTTTCAGACTCAGCAGGATGTTCAGACAGGAACCAGCTGTTCTTCACCTCGTGTGTTTGATGCTGTGAGACTTGAATAATGTCGCTCGTCAAAATGTAAAAGTGTAAAACAGATAATTGTAACTGAAGACTGGCGACCTTTGGTGACCTCAGGGGGGCGCTGTCAGAAAACAGTTTTACACATCTGCTTTTGCATTAAAAGAATGGCTTTTTGTTTCAGAATGGCTCATTTTCGATGCCAATATCCACTAGGAGTTTTACCTCCTCTCACCTAATCACCTTTGTTAGTCAGTCAAGACAAACAGTTCTGAATCATGCTGGAAACCTGCTGCACATATTAATCCCACTCCAGGTTGAAGTGTGATAAACCCTGAAACTGTCGCCCGGTGTCACATGGAGCATGAGAGATGTAACCAGGGAAATTGTGCACCAGAATCGGGTTCAAACATGTGATGATCCCTGCCCTTCTCTGTTTCTGCAGCCACCCCGGGTATGTGATGACTATTGGAGTGAATTCAAACACTGCAAAAGCTTGTGGAATCGCTTCCACCACTACTACACTTATGGTACCTCCCCATCCTGCAAGCAGTGGAAAGAGGACTATCATAACTGCAGCGAGTGGGAGAAACACAGAGCCCCCGAGGCAAAGGTACAAATGCTTTCACCAAGTCTGCCCATCCCTTTTCTTCTTAAAGCTTCTCATGCGTGTCCAAGCCAACTCAGTAAATATTCTTTAAAAAATATGTCTGTGTTGCAGGAAGCATTGAAGGCGAGTGAAAGGTGCAGAGTGGCGGAGCAAAGAAAGTTCACCCCGGTGTGGAAACTGAGGCAAGACCCCCCCAGAGACTGGAACCTGCCCTTGAACTACAGGAAGCCTCAGGACTAATGAATTTTAACCTGCTGTCTCTGCTCCCACTGGCCAAAGCGAACTGAACATACGTAATATATTTCATTTCATGGACATAAAATCCTTATGATCTACATGCTGGAGAGTCTTTGTCACTCACCGCCATCTCAGATTGAGTTCAGAGAGCTGCTGTGTGGAAGCAGATATGTGCAGCATATTCAAACAGTGAGGGCAGCATCTAGTGGCCAATGGTGAGGATGGCAACAAATGAAATACCTGTTAAGGCAATGTTGTTTTTGACAGTCATAAGTAATAAGAGTGCAGTAAGCAGATGATGACTGCACTCACACACTGTCAGCTAGTTTAATATTAATGTTCCTTGTCAGGGAAGAACAATATATGGTTAAATTATACAGTGGGTGTTTATTCAGGATTGTATTTATGTCAAAGTAATGGATTGGCTGTGCATGGATTCATTCTTAACAAGAATTTACCAAGACTTTTGTGCACAACTGTTTGCATCAAGCAGAATAGCCCTCTCTGAATTAATTTGTAAAAGTGGCTGTTTTTGATACTGAAGATGGTTATTGATGCATTAATATGGAAGAACTCAGCTGTTAAGTTTCAGCCCATCCAGAGCTGTGCACTATATTTCAGCCTTGTGGATTTATCCTTAAATCACAGAAAATGTTTGAAATAATTCTGAACAAATTGGATCAATAAAAAATTCAGTTTTATTTTCTTTTTATGTTATACACAGAGGTGTGAAAATGGGGGGAAAACAAGTGATAATACAGAAATGAGTGGAGGTGACTGTCAGCTTCATACTCTCATACAATTAAAGAAAAAAACAAGGTTGACTTTCACTTTAAGAAAAGCTGCATCTTGGTTTTTTGAATCATGTACAAACAAGGAGACACTAAATAAACAACCATACAGGCTGCACCAAGTGCTGTGCCCTGTCCATCACTGGGTGTAAACTTTAGTGATGTCATTGTATTTCCCATCCGGAGCGTCATACTTTGTCTTGGGTGGTGTGTAGGCAGGACCCTCGTGACTGAAGGGAAACAAGAGGGGGTCTGGCTTCAGCGCTGCCTGGTACAGCTCCTCAGACTCCAGCTTCAGCTCCTCCAGCGCTTCCCTCTGTGCCTCCAGAGCGAGTTCAACAGCCTCCATTTCAGCCATGTGCTGCTCCTGCAAGATTAAAGGCAGATGAGCACAGCAAATAAAGCCTCCATTGACTGTACATGAGGGAGAGCAGAGGCCAGAGGCAGCACTTTCTTTAAAAAGCATTAGTGGTGACCTGTTTGTATCGACTCCACTCCTTCAGCAGCAGGGCTCGACCCTCACTTTCTTCAAATGACAGCCTCGGTGAGGAGCGTTCCCTTTGTAAGATAGAAAAACCAAGTTAAGGCCCTTTAAAGCTCCAAGTACAGGGTGAGTCAAAGAAAAACAAATGATACATAAAAGCCCAATGCAACTGTTATTCATTGATACA